TCAGCAGCAAACTGGCTGACAGGGCACTCTGGTCCCTCACCCAGGTCTTTGATCAATATATTGAATAGTACTGGTCCCAGTACCAACCCCTGGGGGACTGGGACTTCTCCCCCCCAGCCCTCAGCCCCCTACCCAGCACTCCCCCAGCCGTGTCTCCTTAACCCTGCAGCGGCAGGATTTTCCTTTGCAGTTATTTTTTCTGCCCCTTGACAAACCCCAGCCACCCCCGGAGCTGTTGCCGACACCTGGTGAGTTTGCAAAAAAGAAATGTGTGGGGTTTTTTGGTTGGTTGGTTGGTGGTTTGTTTTGGTTTTGGTTTTTTTTTCTAGAATTCTTTTAATCTATCATTTACAGTATTGTACAGCTCGGTGAAAATACGAAAATCACCCGGCGTGCTCCAACCTGGGCACCAGCCCCGCTCCCCGCGCGTGTCCAGCGGGTGTGGCGAAGCGGTTGACGCCTTTAACCCCAACCTGCTCCCACCCAGGGAAACCCGGGAGCGGACCCCTCCGGAGCGCTAGTGAAGAATGATGGAAGGAGTGATGTCTAAGTGAAACGCATGCCAGCGGGAGACTAAAGCTACGGGGTAGGGGGGTGGCGGCGGGGGCGGGACGCCCCTCGGGCTCTCCCCCATCACTGCCCCTTCTTGTAGGGGCTTTTGATGATGGCGTTTTTGAAGAGAGTCACTAGGGGGGTCTGGCCGTGCTCCGAGGTCATGAAGCCCCCGTAGCGCTTGTCCTTCAGAGGCGCTTGCCAGCGGAAGTGGCGCATGCGGTAGGAGCCGCCGGCCTTCTTCTCCTCCTCCTGGCCTTCCTCCTCTTCCTCCTCCTCCTCTCCCTCCTCGGGCAGCGCCGCGGCGTCACCGAGCGCCAGCTCCCGCCTGAACTCCAGCGGGTAACTCTCGGCCGACTCCTCCTCCACCCCGTTGGGGTAAACCTTGACGGGTCTCCTCTTGCGTCCCACCGGCTTCCCCCAGCGGAAGTGCTCCATGGAGTAGGAGCGTTTGCCTTCCTCCCGCTCCAGCCCGGTTCCCTCCTCTTCCTCACGGCGGGACGGCGATGCCAGA